TAAATAATATTTCACATCAAAAGAAACAACAATGTTTTAACAAATCCTATTAAATAATGTGATGACAGAACTGTAAACAGAATAGCTGAAACTTTAACAAAATAAAGAGTAACTCTGTTACCTCTCATTAACCCATGTTTGTATAATTGTGTTAACTCCGTGTGTTGCTGCTAGCATACATAACACCTGACGTGGAAACGTTACTCGTGGATGGGGCTACAGAGCTACTAGAAAGATAGTCGAACCCGGTGCATTCCTCCGTCTGAATGTGGTGCACTTTTGCTAAATGTTTAGACAAATTGCTCGTGTTACCGCCCTTACACGCTAAACACTCTTGGAAAGGAGCATTGTCCACATCGAGACGGGTAACATTTAACCACACCTTGGAGCGCTTCTCTCCGCCATCTCCTCCGTGTGTTGCTGCATGTAGCAGCCGCGTGTGTGTGTAAACTGCCCCGCCCCCTCGCACACAGACGGGAGAGAGAGATCTGGTCTGGATTGGAAGGGTCGAAAATACACCGACCATAGATGCATTTGTTTGTCTTTTTGCATGTTAGAAACGAGTTGGCGACACTAAGACTGCGAGATAAGGTTTTTGTAGCAATAATACATGACCTTTCTCTTTCTAAACTCGCTACTCGGAGGGAAGTCGCTGTCATGTGCCTTGTGAACACTCCGATAATGCCTCTCCACATTACCTTTCTTTGGCAGAGCGACGCTTGCTTTACAAATAAGGCAAATAACCTTTGAATGTGACATCACAAACAAATATTCTTCCTCCCATTCTGTGTGGAAGTGGTAATGTCTTTAGCTTTTTGCTCGGTCCCGCACTCATTTTGTTGTTTGTCTCTTTAACTTAATTTGAGTTTTCCCGGCACTTGACTGATTTTGTATCGCTTTGCATTTTGGGTTAACAGACTGGAAAACGATAGGTCGCTTTTTCTGTCAATCAAGTAAACTCCTGAATTAAGTAGCAGGGAGGCCAAGGGAGGAGGGGTCAAAACCTGTTTTGTCTATTTTAACGGAGCTGGATTTTTTTTATTTTTATGAATGACTCGTGATCTACCAGCATTTGGTCAACTGCGGTCGACGTACTGGGCACCTCTGCAGTAGACCAATGACACACATCCCAGACAAGGGCACAAATGCTTGAATTTTTTCCTCCCAGACTTTTACCAGTAGAATATGGACATTTATGTATGGATACATGTATGGACAGCATCTTACTTATATTCACACCTGATTGATTCGTGCCTCTGTATATTCCAGGCCACTCTGTGCCCTCAGTGCTGCAGAGTACCTTCCATGCCCAGGCCTGTGAGGAGCTCTTCAAACACCTCTGCATCAGTGGGACGCCTAAGATCCGTCTCCACGCCGGCCTGCTGCTGGTTCAGCTGTGTGGAGGAGAGCGCTGGTGGGGCCAGTTCCTCTCCAACGTCCTGCAGGAGCTCTACAACTCTGAGCAGCTGCTCATCTTCCCTCAGGACAGGTGGGGACATCAGATTGCTTCCATCAACCATAAATCCTGAACTGATTCTTCCCCCAGTGCTTTTTAACTTTATCACATTGAGGATTATCATTCTCAGTGTAAAAGTCAAAAAAGCTTGTTGGACAATTGTGGTTATTTTTATGTATTTGTTACTCAAATGAGAAAAAAGCTTAAACCTTAAAGCGCAGCTTATAGGAGCCTGAGCCATTGTTGCTAACTTCAGGACTAACCTGATCATCTCTCTCTTTCTATCTCTCTTTAAATGAATATTGAAACAATTGAGATTTTTCATGCTGTACCTGCAGCTCTATAGCTCGAGCTGCTGGCATCTCTTTGAATCCCATCAACAATCAGAATAAAAACACTTTCAGTTTATTTAAATCTCAATGAAACGCTTTGTTAGTGAGGAAACAGCTCTGTCAACATTGAAACAATCTCTTGCACTGTACATCCCTCTGTCTGTACTGCCTCTGCCTTATCCTCTTGCTTATCTTCTTGCTACGTATTATGTAAGTTTCTTTTTTGTATTACTTTTGTATTAGCATTTCCAGTATTGTATGCCTCTATGTAGCATGTTTTTACTGATTGTATTTACTTTTTATTTTAAATTAAAAAAATGTTTAGGGTGACATGCAACATCTGTCCAAGGATTACAGATGAAAAATAGCCTCTTGGCTAACTCTAGCATTTACAGAAATACACTAATTAACAAAAAATAAATCAACCAATAGAACTTGTTCTCCTAAAAACATGTCTCAAATGACCCTGTTTCAAGTTCACCAATGCAGTATTTTCCTTGTCTTGTTTGACCCCAGGGTGTTCATGCTGCTGTCCTGCATTGGCCAAAGATCCCTGAGTAACAGTGGAGTGTTGGAGGGGCTCCTGAACCTGCTGGACAGCCTGCTGTCTCCCCTGCAGCAGCCACAGGCCTCCGCCCAGCGCAGGACCGAGGGTACAGCCAGCCTCACTGTGGCACCGTCACACATTTATGTTTGATGGAGCAAAAATTACACATTTCAGCAGATTCTTTATTAGAAAGTGTGACAAAGAGTAAGTGTTTGTGTGTGCTTCAGGTGTTTTGGATATCCCCATGATCAGCTGGGTAGTGATGTTGGTCTCTAGACTGCTGGACTATGTAGCCAGTATAGAAGATGAGGCTGCAGGGGGTAAGAAGCACCTTGGAGGGAAAGAACGGGAGAGATCTTTTACAGGTATAGAAACTACACAATTTTCCCTCACTTCTTTCTCTACCCGATGATTATATATTTTATTTCACTAAAGAACTTCACTATTTAAAGTCAAGAATCTAAATAAAAAATGTAATAAGCATTTTTGACAAATATCTATTGAATATGGACACCTCACAAATGAACCACTCACATTATGATCTGTTAAAGTGGAACATTCAACATGGATCTCTGAATGATCTTTTTACTAACAGGAAAGAAAGCTTGTTAGACTTCCATAGAATACACTTAATCTGTTTTCCGCCCTCTTAAAAACATTTTTATTGAAATCTGTCCCAACCCCAGTGATCTGATGAGTGCTGTTGCTCTGTCCTCCAGGTATTCAGTGGAGCTTCATCAACAACAGCCTTCAGTCTCAGAACTCCGGCAGGGCAGCTAAAGGCAACAGCAGCCTGGACCGACTTTACTCGCGCAAGATCCGCAAACAGCTCGTCCACCACAAGCAGGTAAATGTGTCTCATCTTCACCATCAAATATGTTCTTTAAAAAGTCAGTGTGATAAATGAATATGTGCTTACGAGTCCTACAAACTCAAGGACAATGTTTTTCTCATCTCTTGTTTGACTCAAATAGGTTTACAATGCTCCTATTTATCATACCCTTTTTTTGCAGCAGTTAAATCTATTGAAAGCAAAACAGAAGGCTTTGGTGGAGCAGATTGAGAAGGAGAAGATCCAGAGCAACAAAGGCTCCTCCTACAAACTGCTGGTGGAACAGGCCAAGCTCAAACAGGCCACATCCAAGGTGAGCAGCTCAGCTTCTGCATGTCCAGTAAGCAGCACCAGCACTGTGTGGGGTCAGAGGGTACCTCTAAAGAGGATCCACGGTTTGTAATAAGTTGTCTGCATGTTTTAATAGTATGAAGACATTCGTATACATTATAATATTAAAGATTGTTGTTTTGTGAGATGAAGATAATGCACAGACCTGTCAGCGGTATTAACTACAGAGCTACAGATGAAGTCTTCCACTTATTATGCTTAGATAAATACATTTACTGAGGGAACATCACTATGTAGCTCCTCTAATACATGTCTAATAATTGGATCTTTGCCCTGCCTCTCTTCCTTTTTAAATGTATTTTTATCTTAACATCGGCAGTATTACAGAACATGACATATTTGACAGGTGAAATAGATGACAACATCAACAATGTACAGACATAGTGCATAATGAAAGTATTAATAGCGTAATCAAAATAATAAAACATCTATTGTCCCCACGCGAGACCACAGAGCCCTGTTGTTATTTTCTGTAAGCAATCAGCTCCTTAATAGGCTGTAACGGCCCCTACACAGGGCGGCGTGCGTTGCCGCCTCAACGCTTCTGCCCATTCACTTTGAATGGGGTGACGTCACGATTCGCCGAACTGCATTGTGGGAGCAAAGCGTAGCTTCTCTCGCGGTGCTCGCTGCAAAAGTAGAGCAATGTTCTACTTTTGCCGCCTCGACGGAGGCGTCAGCCAATCGAATCATATGCCAGTACAAGCTCTAGCCAATCAAACCGCGTGCTTGTGTGTCTGGGGCGGGAGATTCATGTGATTGGTTGTTGGTCTAGTTTCAGCCCCCCCCGCCGGCAAG